CACCTACGTGACGCCCTGCTGCCCACCCGCGCAGCCCTATTGCCCCCCTGTGCAGTCCTACTGCCCCCCTGTGCAGCGCTACTGCCCCCCAGCTCCCTTCTACCCCCAGTACTCCAAGAACATCTGCAAGCTGCCACCGACGTGCCCCAAGTACTAAAAGCAGGATCTGACCCCGGCACCCGGACCCACCGGCTCGTTCCTCCCTTGGATGCCGCAGTCACGGATCATCCCATCCTTTACTGAAATCCCTGGGTCTCTGCCATGTGCCTCGCTGCTGGACTGGATGAAATGTTCCCCTAATTATCATTTGAGGTGTCATTCTTTCTAATTATTCAGGAAATGTCCTTTCTAGTTATTCAGGGTGTAATTGCTATTGGGAATCTCTCTGTGCTGCGCTTTTCTGTTTCAGACTCATTTGGGTGTGGGAAACAATAAATCTTACAATTCATGAGACCCACGTTGCCTTTCAATCTCTTTATTCACTTTTTTCTCTAGACTGTTTTTTTCTGAATTCCTCAAATTTCCTCATATTCTCCAGGTGCCCCCCAATATTCTCCAAGTGCTGTTCATAACAACAATTCCCACATTCATGTGGGAAGAAAACATGTTCATAGAGGAAAAAGTTCTCAGCTACCAAAAAATACACAGAGTCCTAAAGGGCTGAGCAGAACTAAGCTCCCCCTGCCTACGCCAGATGATGAGCTGGTCTACACAGATTTTTTGGCCCTTCATTTTGAATAAAAAACAACATCAAAGGCGAACTCTTTTGTTTTGGAGACAAGCACAACTCGTTAAATGAGAGGGAAATAAGTAGTTCACAGCTGCTAATACTCTTACTCAACACATGAAATAACGTAGCCTAAGCTCAGCTTCAGAACTTGGGCATATAAATACTCTCAAATATATTAATGCCTCTGAAAATTGAAGTAAAAAAAAATTTTTCATGGTCCAGTAGTACCTGATTTGGAGCAGAGAAATGGCTTAGCATGGAGATGGTCTCTCTCATGGAAGACTCTTGCACACTCACACAGCACCAATCTGAACACCACAACATGTTATTATGGAGAACTTGTAAACCAAATACTGCTGAATGTAACCAAGCAAGTACCAAACACTACATTGCCCTAAAAATTACATTTCCTCTCTGTAGATTGGGCTTCCCTTATATATTGCCCTTAAGAGAATGACGAATATTAGAAGATAACTCTTTAGAGACCATGTTTTCCTTTGCAGGATCCAGATTTCAAAGGTTCAGAAACATTTTCTGGGTGCTGTAACCGAAGACATCCCAGTTTTGGAAGAGTGTTGAGGGGTTAGTAAGATTTCAGAGGAACACTGGTGTGATGCTCCAAGCCTAAGCATGGAGGGAAGGACAAGTGTCACTCAAGTACCAGCTTCCCCAACTGGGCACCTGCAGCCCCACTTGGTTTTGGACCCACAAATGAGTCACAAAGTGTCCCTGAGGAATTCGTGCAATCCTCTCTCACTACACAAAACTCACCACAAGCAATTATGTCACTCCTAGCCTGAAGAAAAGCTGTAGGACACCCATACTTCAGAGAAAGCTTCTCATCAGCAGTTCATTAATTACTCTAATGGGTAACATTTTCAAAGTTGGTGAGTTACGGGCTTTGTTTTCTTGTATGTCAAAGACTAAGTCAAACAGGAATAAAAAAACAGCTTTAGCGCCCATAATTTCACCACTAGAACCCAACACGTAGAACCTAACACTACTCAAACTTCAGTTCAAACTCTCCCTCTCTCCAAATCCTTCACTTTCCAGGTGAGGTCAGGTGAAAAAAAGTAGAAGAAATCAGTGAAGGGAAAGTGAAACCAAGGAACATACTCACACCTTCTACAGAGCTCATTGCCAGACATTTTTCTCTGGTCTTAAATACTAAATAACCTTTGATATCTGTGGAACAGTCAGATGGGGTCAACCAAGCACATGGCAAGCCCAGGAACAGATGAAGAGTCAGAAATATTTTATTTTCGGCAATACCAGCGAACTGAAGAGATCACACCAGTCTTCCCAGCAGCGTGCCATATGCATGAGTTGCAGCTGGTAATCCCATTTCCTCTTGGCATTCAACAACACATGAATTAAAATCCTGAGCTGTCACCTGCACAAAATGGGAAGCCTAGCCCAGGAGTCAGCATTTCTGAGGCGTAAAGACCTTTCTGTCACTGATGCAATCCCAGTTTCCCATTGGTAAGTTAATTAACACTTAAGAGATTAACGTCAGTCTCCAGGAGATGGGGAAGAAACACCATCCAAAGACCTTATAGGAAACACATCAGGAGTTACATACAGGACGAAATACGATGCGTCAAAGAGGAAATGCTAAAAATAGGATAGCACAGAGATCTGCGGGGTTAAGTGCGGAAATAACTAAATTGTCATTGCAAAGAGGTGTCTCATATCCGAGATACCCTGTTGGGGCTCTATAAAAGATTGCTCAGTTGAGTCCTCTGCAGTTGCTCGCCTTCGCTTCCAGACACTTGTCCCTGTATCTGAAGAGGGTAAGGCCAATTTTTCTATTTCTGTTCAGACCAAAAGAGAAGAAACCTCCTTTAGAGGCTTTTATGGACCTCCTGGGATCTGGGAGTTAGCTAAATGCCTTGCGGTGCTCTGAGGGAGGGACGGTGGATGGAGGGACAGGGGTCAGCAGGCACGATGCAGCAAAGGCACACGAAAGGATCCTTGGGCGATATGAGCTCCGGGCTGTTTCACAAGGGAGATGGGGCCTGGGAGTGGCCCATGGGGCTCAGTGCATCGGCTAGAAGGGACAAAACA